CTCCTACAATCATCTGCATTTAACTCTTATTATAACAAAACTAAACAATAATAAAACATCCACTCACAAAACTAAATTGATCAATAATATTTAAACCAAACAGTGTTTTATATCATGACAAAGTAAAACACCTTGTATATTGTTAAAAACTAATGTATATTACTTATTTTGATATACCTTGCATTCTATTTGTAAAAGATACCAATGTACTTATTTTTAGAAATTGTAAAAAGGTATTCTGCTAATCAAAAACATACACTATAGAAAATATCTACTGCAAAACTATAGCTTTAAATTATCCATGGAAGATATTCGAAAGAGAGAATCAGCTGCTAAATTAATTACACCAAAGAAATAAACAAGCAGGTTAACCAATAACATTAATTTATTTAACTATATCATGGTTTTATTTCTATGCTAATTAAAGAAAATCATGATATAGTTAAATTATTTGGAGACATCTGATCAAGAAAGGCTTCTGACTAGAAATGTACACATTTACAATCCATGAAAAGAAGGGGGAGCTCTGTGGCAAATAGTTTGAAAAAAAATAATAATCATTTTAGTTTTAGGCAATGCATTTATGAAATGTGTAGTTTAATTTTACAGTTTTAACACTATCAATTGCTATTTTTCAACTGTATTGAGCTAAAAGTAAGCAATGAATATGTACGAAGTTTACAAATGGGAAGTTAAAAAATTACACTTTTCAGGTAAAAATTACAGGTGGAGAAGAAAAAGTCAAAATTATGATTAGTCCTGTGGATTCTTTTTTAAATTATATTATCCAAAATAAATGTTGAAATTCATATTAAAACAAAGTTTTAAATCTAAACACTTAAGTTTGTTTTATTTTGTAGGTTGTTTATAGAAGGATAGATAAAATGTTTTAAACCTAAATGATGATGTGCTCTTGTGAAAAAAATATCATGGGTTACTGTGTTCATTTTGTGTTTTAAATTGTAATTTTAAATGAAGTGAAATAGGCATATTCATGGCTGTAATCTGTGTTTCTAGGTAAATAATTCTGTTAATCTGTTACTTTGTGGACAGGTATCAAATGTAAAACAAAACTACCATAAAAATAAATGATTCTACCTTTTTGAACATACAAGTATTTTTGGCAATGCATATCCTTATTTCTAAATAAAGGTTCTACTCTTATTAAGTACACACCATTTATATCAGTGGGATGGAAGATTTTGTATGGGTTTCTCTGAGTTCTTTGTTAAAAGCATAATTTTTTACTTGCCTAGAATTACCAGTATTAGTGTATTAGTTTTTATTTATGCCTTTAAATTACTTATATTTTTGTAAGGTATGTTTTAATATTTTGTTTTAGATGTTTGTTTGCTAGAAGGAATTTGTCAACACATCATGATGAAATAAGATCTAGAAATTTCCTAAAATGTGAAGCATCCATATAAAATTAGAATGTATACAAGTACCAGACTTGATGAACTATTCAGTTAATGAGTTATTCAGTTCAGTGTCACTTAGTAAGTTAGACAGTGAGAGTTATTGTGTCTATTTTCTGTGGTTCGGTTAGTGTTTTTTATTGATTGATTAGCAAGGAGATTGTGCAGGTAAGTTTATAATTTCATTAGACATATATTAGTTTTGGGGCTGCTATTGAAATGCTTGTGAAGTTACGCATACTAGTGAACAAGATCTATTTCAAATGCTACTGAAGAAATAAATAAATTAATTATTGTTACATGGACTGGACTTCACTTTGTTTTTGCCAAATAATCTATTAGAACCTATCCAGTGATTGAACACATTACAATACTGGTGTTAAAAGTGGAATTATTTTGTTGAAAATAGAATAGAATTTTCAATAAATTTCAAGATGAAAACATAAAGACATGAAGCAAAATAAAAAATTTTCTGGATATCATGAATCAGTGGAAAGAAGAACAAGAAGAAAGAGGTAGCAAATTAGAAGAATGAGAGAAAAAATTAAGAGAAGAGTTAAGAGAAAGAGATGTAATATTTAAAGAAGAAAATAAATTTGATTGAAGGAAAGATTGACAGAGTTATTGGAGATTACAGGGGGATTACAGAAATAAGATTGAAGAAGTACAGAAAAACATCAGTAAAGTAAGGAAAGACTGTAATGACAAAAGAAAAAAGTATCAAAGAAATCACTGAGGTGGAAAAAATATCAATGACAGAATATAACGAATTAGTAAATGCAGAAATCAAACAAGCCACACCTATTTTTGCACCTTAATCCTAAAATGCATTTACTTTAAAATATATAATAGTAGAAAATATTTGGTCTACAACTGTTACCCTTACTATTGTGCTACCTATGAATGCAGGACCTTCCTGGACTACTCCAGCTGTGTCACCACCAAAACCAGTTCTATAATTTAACTGGCTAGTTCACTAACAATACTCATTTGAGAAACCAATGGGCTATGGTGAAAAAGTATTATGAGAAACATGTCTGGCTCAGTTTGAAGTCATTTCCAGAGTGAATGTGTGAAATCACTTTTTTTTTCCCATTTAAAAAGACCAGCTTTAATGAAAACAACTGGGACAAAGTGCATATGTAATAATCTTTTACAGAGTTACATTCAAAATTTTGTAAACCAACTTTGTTTAAGCTTGGCATCAAAATTGAGTTTGTAATTCAAACTTTGATTATCCAAATTTTATCTTAATTTCAAATGGAAATAGTCAAATAAATTCTCAATCATCACTTATCTAAGTGTCTAACTAATTACAAACATACAATATAGATATTGTCAAACCAGAATACTAATTTAGAACCACCAATCTTCTTGCTTTAATGAGATATAGAAAGAAATGTCAAAACCACATGACATACCCCCTTCCATATCATTCTGTCTTTACAGAATTGAGGAATAACAAGACAACTGTACATTTAACAAATACATCATTTATTTATAACAATGGTTTTGCTCAATTCTCTAATTATGGAGTTTCACCAAGTATCGACGCTTTCAAATATCATTTATATCCTATCTTTAAAAAAAATGTAGTAATTCACTCTAACATTGCTATTGGATTATTTATAACCAATAGAAAGAGCATCTTTATCTTTACAAGATTCTTTTTACAGGTTACAGTACTGCTTTATTGTAATGCTACCATCGGAAGCATGTGCACCCAAATTATATAGGTGGGGTAGCATCACAACCAGTTAATTAAACCATTTCCTCTTTAATGAGGTCATTTATGACCAGACAGATGGAAACCCCACTGGGTCAAACAATTCCAATAGTTTTTTATGCTACCATAAATACAAGTGGTTAGAAAACTGTCCCTGGGACTTTAGACCTGTTCTTTACAAATGTGATATTGACGACACTTTCTTGCTATTTTGACAGTCAAGTCACATTTCCAAATTCCTTTCTTACCTTAATTCCCAATATGAAGGTCATATCTTAACTTGATATTCACATCTCTGGGCTTTGCACTTCAGGCTTCTTCCTTTTTTTCCTTTATTTTGTGACAGTGTAATGACTTTAGCCTCTGAAGCCATGTGGCAATGAGCTAAGCAGCAGATGATACTAAATTTTTGCTAAGTTTTTGGGATCCAAAACATCACAGTGTTATATATGAGAAAGTGTTATAACCGATGGTGTTATAATAAGGCAGAACTGTATTTTGTTTTGCTACTTGTAAGTAAATATTTGGCCTCAGTTTCATTGTTTGCACTAGTGGTGTTCAGCTTTGAGCAGATAATTGGAATTTTTTAAAACTATTTATAGCTCAGTTAGAAAGGCAGGTAACTTACAGTAATTTTGGGAAATTCTATTTTAATGCCTGATCATTGTTTGGTATTCTACAATTCATATTTGAAATAAACATGAATTACTTGGTGAACAATAAACATCATCATAAAAAAAAAGGTTTAGATAAGAGAACTTAAATTAAAGAAAAAATTAAATATGAAACATTTCTTCTTGATATCCTGCATCAAAGCAGTCATGCATACATAGCATGATGTGATTGTTATAATTTATTTACAGAGTTTTCTCTTCCTGAAAAATGGTTTTCGTGTACTCTGAGACTAAGTACAGTTGTAAAGTTAAAGAATAAAACTAAATGAAGCCAGATGTGAAAAAGCCATTACTTAGACTATAAAAATAGATAAGTGTAATTGCCTGTTACAATCTACAGTCATTCTAAAAAGAAAAAATATTTGGATTTTAACTTATTTTTCAACTTTTCTTTTTTACCCTACATTGATGATTTCACTGCAGTTAGTATTAGGATAAAAAATAACAGATTAAATAGAAAGTTTTTGTGAAAAAAGCTTTTGGTATTCATTAGATAAGGAGGTTCTGTAGGTTAAGTAAATTAAATATGAAACTGTATGATGAAAAAAGTATTTTTATTCTTAACATGAAAATCACATTTCACTCAGATTGACTCAGTAAAGTTTTTGGAAATTCACAAACAAATCTTTAGTAGAAATGCTTTATTAAAATATCTAAATTTTTGGATACAATAGACTTTTAATGTTTACTTAAAGCATACCAAATTTTGTGAAGATTGACATATTAAATTCAGATTTATGGTAAATTTACATCTCCAATACAGCATCAGTCTAATGTACCAATGCTGTGCACATAGTGTTAAGTAATCATCCAGCTGAGAGTTGTAACAACTGTCAAGCATTGCCTTATTCAGCATATTTGGAGTGAGACACCAGAAGGATGTCTCTCAAGCAAACTTCCAAAGTAGGGTGCAGAGAAAAGAAAAAAACATTAGCTAAACTTGTGGAAAGTTTAGAAAGGTTTGCCCAACTTATCTTACCTGAATGCTGCATGTGAAATGATGGATTTGTTGGCATATGACCCACTTGTAGATTTTATAACAGATGAGGATATGCAAGTTAGGCTGAAAAGAAGAGGCACTCCAGTTAACAGTGTAACTATAATCCATTAAAACTGCAGATAAACTACTAAAAGCACCATCTAGAAGTTGCAGGATTATTATACCAAGTAATCTTGAAACACCCCCCCTTCTTCAATGATAATCTAGAAGAACTGAAAGAATTAGATAGCCGACTGGTTACACAACATGTAGGAAATAAAGCACAAGATGATAGGTGTTCCAAGGGTAACTTGGAAAAACATATTGCCAGGAACTGTAGAAAAAGGCCTGTATAGAATAGAAAATTTCAAACATATCAGAAAAAGGGAACTGTTATAAATATGGAAAGCATAACCATTACAGAAAAGTTAATACAGAAAGGAAACAACACTAAGGGTGAGTCTTAGAGCTCAACCAGATCAAAAGGAAAACAAAGAGCTAACCAAACATTGAAAAAATCTGAATTAGCTGGGCTTGTGGGGTGTAGTTCAGCTGAGATAACCCCAACAAACTGAAGAAATAATTAACCACCACTCCTGTATTAGCATACCAAACTCTTGAAGATCCATCATGTTAGATACAAATGTCAGTGATTTTTGCAGTGGAAGCAGTTTTTCAAAAGTATAATGTAGAAAAACATGTTATTGCTTGCTATAGCAATACAGTGAATGCTGTAGAAATGAGGTATTGTTTAACATAGAAAGAGCTACTAAATGTTGTTTGATCCCTAATTCATTTCTATCATTACCTATATGGACAAAAGTTTAGACTCATGACAGGTTATGTGGCATTGCCATCCAGATAGAAAGAAAGCTCCAGAAACTTCAGAAGTACAACTTAAACATTGTGCATTGCCCTGGATGGAACCATTGAAATGCTGATGCAGTATCCTGAAGGTCATATGTTAATGAAGAATGTAAATGCTGTAAAAAGAGGGAAGCTTGAGATAGGAAGGATGACAGAATTAAAGTACAATAAGAGTATAGTCCAAGATGGGAAATTTGCAAGTTGTGATCAAGAACTAATGTGGTCAGATACTTAGGCTAAAGCTGAATTTTAAACCTGGATCAAGAATCGTGCAGATAACCCCTCATGGTGTATATTGGATTCATACAGCCCAAACAAAAACATGTTTTGAGCACAGTGGAATTCAAAATGCTTCAAGAGGGCTATTTATCTTGAAAATAAGAAAATACCAGTGGACAGAAATAATGAATACGGTTAGTACTTCCACAGAAGCACTCCATCATATCCACAAACTTCCAACAGGTGAACACTTAGTGCTAATTAAGCACTGAAAATAGTAAGAGAATGCTTCTATTGGAGCCTGTATAGAATTGGTGTAACAATACTGTGAATAGAAAGGTCCAAGAAAGAAAATGCTTGGGTAGCTATAGTATTATGTTGGAGCACCACTTGAGAGAGTTGCTGTCAATTTACTTGGTCCTCTGTCACAGATGAACAATGGGAACATATACATCATGGTTTTGATGAACTATTTCACCAAATAATCAGGAAACTCTAACAAGAAAAACTAAGACTTCACAAATCGGAAATGGGGCAGTGTTGTCAGTTATGTTTTTAATATTTTAATTTAGAAGTTTATTTGTTAGAGGGAACTTATCATGATAACACGATGATGGTAGATCTAAAAAATTTATGAAAGTTAAGGTTTTGGTAAAATCTGGAATTTACCTGTATTACATAGAATGCTGGATTGTGTGTGTGTGTGTGTGTATATATATATATATATATATTAC